AATAAGAGGTATGCATTCAGATATACCAGAGCCAAAATTATATTTGAAGTTAGCTGTTTGGATTTGGATCAGGATCCCCCAAGATGATGCAAAGCACTCCTGAAATTCCAGGAGTAACGGACATTGTCTGGAATTTCTGGAGTGTTTGGGGGAGATGTAGGAGTGGGGAGGGAAAGCGAGGAAGCTGGCCTCAGAAACAGCTCTTATTTGGCAGAGAGATGCCAATTAATGATCAGGTAGACCTGGACTCCAGCCATTGCTCCTTAACTTTTAAAAGGGAAAGAACTGAACTGGTCCTGGATTTACCCTACTGGCACTGTCTCTGCTGGAGGCTTTTCTTTCAGGTAGACCTGGACTCCAGCCATTGCTCTTTTAGATTTTAGAAGGGAAAGAACTGAACTGGTCCTGGACTTACCCTGCTGGCACTGTCTCTGCTGGAGGCTTTTCTCTGCTGCAAGCACTGGAGGTAACAGAGCCCACAGTGGCAGGCGCTAGACTGACTTCCTTCCTTCCTTCCTTCCTTCCTTCCTTCCTTCCTTCCTTCCTTCCAATTCAGAGAACCTGGTATATACAATCACTATACTGTTATGTTGATATAACACTATTCAATTGCCAATTTTAAAGAAAACCAGCCCCTAAGGGTTGGGAAGGAAACTGCCACTGTGACAGCCAAGGATCATGGGAGTTCAGGAGCCTGCTAGCCTACCTGCCATTTTCCAGCTATGGGCTGGGCTCTGCGGCCACCAGTGCTGGCAGCAGGGAAAGGCCTCCAGTGGGGACAATGCTGGTATGGTAAGTCCGGGGCTGGCTTCCTCTTTTTTCCTCGCTCCTTCCCTGCTCCTGTTGCCTTGTGTGTGGGTTGTTGTTTTTTTTTACAAAAACAATGGTCCAAATCTTCAGGAAAGTGGCCCCGCCCAAATATCTTGAACCAGTAACACTGCTGAAGAATCAGGATAATGAAAATTGTGCCATACCCAAAAGCTGGATCTGAAAGTATTATGAAAATCTTTGATGTGGAAAAAAATATGGAAAAAAATTAATTCTGTACTTAGTTTCAAGTTGCTGATTGAAGGCCCAACAGGATGAAAGATGGTGAAGAATACACTGTATTAACAGTACTGGTCTCAATTAGAACACAGCTATTTACAAAGATCCTCTTTCTGGCCAGTGGTATGCAACTGTGATGGATTGCACAGAAAAGCAGGCTTTTTAAGATGTATCAGAGAATCAGGGAGTTCTTGAGTTAACCTTCCCTGGAGAGAAAAGCTTAGGCAATTGGTTGCTTTACTAGCTCTCTGATTGGCCAGACAATAGACCCTATTGTCTAAATATATTCACACTGCTCTGAGGGAGAACTTAGATTCTCAGTAAGCAAAGCTACAGAACAACCTTATACAGACAAGGATCCTGGAGAAGAATTTGGCAGAAGGTCTGGGTAGTATGGTATGGTACAACTCCCATACAATTCAAATAGTAAAAGGAGTTATTGCTTCTTTGGATCAAGGAGAATAACTTCCTGCCAGTGAAAGGGTTTGGGAAGAGAACCCTGGTCTGTGATAAACGGGAGAAGCTTAGACACCTCAGGAATTAATGAAAAGCTGTATTATCTAAAGGAAAACCAGTAATATCTGAAGGAAGAAATCTAGAAACATCAATAAGAACTGTGTTAGTGCTGAAACATACTAAGCAAAGTACCTCTCAAAGAAAGAAATAGAAAGCCTTGAAACAGCTACAAATACACTCTCTTGAATGTTCTAAGAATTCAACTCTATATATGTTAGAAAGTTTTTTTTTACCTCAGCAATCTCAAAACATGACTATTCCTATTATACATTTATTCCCTGCCTGTTGTTTTTGTTTTGTTTTTAAAAAATCTTTATTCTGTTTTTGAAAGTTAATTTGCCTCAAGTGCCATTTCTCAAGGGTTTAAAGAAAACTGGACTGCTCCTGTATTTTCAGTAGAGTTCTTGAGCTGAGAAAAAGGCTAAACTAAATATCTAAACACAGGATGGGACAGTCAAGCCTTTTATAACAAAGAATATGACAAAGCCTGGAGAGCAGACAACTGAGAGGTGTTATGATAACCATCTTCAAGTACTTGAAGGGCTGTCATGGAGGATGGAGTGGAGTTGTTTTGTGTTGCCCCAGAAGGTCGGACCAGGACCAATGGGATGAAATTAAAAATTTTTTCAGCTAAACATTAGGAAGAACTTCCTGACAGTTAAAGCAGTTCCACAATGGAACAGGCTTCCTCAGGAGGTGGTGGGCTCTTTGGAGGCTGGGAAATTCTTGGAGATTCTGTGGTGAAGTCTGAGGAGTGCAGAGTTTGGGGAGGGGAGAGGCCTTAGCTGGATATAATGCCACAGAGTACACCCATGTTCTCCAAGGAGACAGATCTCTGTTGTCTGGAGTTCAGTTGTAATACTGGGGGATCTCCGGGTCCCACCTGGGGCTGGCAAACCTAGACCTAGCAGCACCCTCTGGGTGCCTTGATATCACCTGACTTGCATAATTCAATAGGCCTGGCTGCTTGCTACTGTTCCACAGCAGCGACTCTATAAAAGTCAGTGTAGTATAATGGTCAGAGCTTCAGAACAGGGTTTGCGAGACCCAGGTTTAGGTCTCCATCTTGCTGTGGAAACTCACTGGGTGATTTTGGACCAGTCACATACTTTCAGCCTAACCTACTTCATAGGGTAGTTGTGTGGATAAAAAGGAGGACAGAATAGTGTAAACTGCTTTAGTCCCCTCTGTGGAGAAAGTGCAGGGGGAAAGGAGACAGAAAGCTGAGGACAGAGGGGCAGATAAAAATAGGTTGGCTGTTGGGTGGGAAGAAGATATTGATGTCTACTCCAGGTTGGGAAATTCCTGGATATTTGAGGGGGTAGAGCCTGGGGATGGTGGGGATTGAGGTGAGGAGGGCTTCAGACACATATAATGCTATAGACTCCACCCTCCAAAGCAGTCATTTCCTCCAGAAGAACCAATGTTGCCAACCTCCAGGTGAGGGCTGGAGATCTGGAATTACAGCTGATCTCCAGATGAGAGAGATCAGTTCCCCAGGAGAAAATGGCTGCTTTGAAGGGTGGAGTTTATAGTATTATACCCTGCTGAGGTTACTTCCAAGCTCAAACTTCATCCTCCCAAGGCTCCACCCTCAAATCTCCAGCAATTTCCCAACATGGAGCTGGCAACCCTAAGAGGAACTGATCTCTATATTTGGGCAGTCCATTGTGATTCCTGGAGAGTGGCTGTTGCAACTACTGCTGGGGGGGGGGGAAGTAGGTGGGAGGCCAGGAGAGTGATGGGCAGAAAGAATGATGAGTGGGGGCAAAAAGGAAGTGACAGGGATAAAGGAGAGAGAGAGAAAGAGCATGAGAGAAGTAGGGGGAGAGGGGAAGAAGCAGATGTAGGGGGAATGGGATAGCCACTCCTGCAAGTTTCTTGCAGGTCCCCACTTGTGATAAAATATATTTCTTAAGCTTGAAAAACTCCCAAGTGTTCTGAGCATGGTAATCTGGGTAGTATGCCGAGTGTCTTAGAAATTTATGGGATACATTTTTACACTGTGAGATCAGAAATTATGAAACATGTTATACATGGAGACAGCTATAGAAGTGTAAAGTTTAAACAAGTTAAACATTAGTCCAACATTTTCTGCTCTTCTATTAGTGATGAATCCAGAGACCTAATGAGTCAGATATTTCTATAGCAAGTGATAATAAGCCTAACGACAGCCTGGTTGTAAATATATCCCATGCAGCAGCAAATAGAAGCCCCTTTCATTCATTACAGTGTTCCTACTTTTTGCACTGGGAGAGCATTCTATACACAATCCTCTTGATAGGAGAGTTTACCATTTTTGTAGGGCAAAGTGTGTGTTTTCTGGCTTTGGTACACACAGGGGTCATTTCCTGCAGGTGTGCACAGGAGCGGAGCTCCGGCAGTAAATAGTTCAGGGGCGGGCACATGCAACAAGCCCCGCCCCCTGCTCTCAGCAGCCCTGGGCCACGAGGAGCAAGAAGCAGCCAGGTAAGTTGCAGTGGGTGTTGCCTTCTGACACACTTCCGGTAATGTCGGGGTGTGGCATATGCAAATGAGTTATGCTAATGAGCTCCTGCACCTCTTTTTCTACTAGATGACGCCTGGGCACACATGATCATAAATGTGGTTTATTGAGAGTTTGTCCTGATGTGTATCAAAGCTTGAAAATACAACATGGTGAATGTACATGTCAAAAGGATCACAAGAATTCTCTTAATGGGAATCATAATTAAAAATGGCTTCCATGTGTTGTTAGTTTGAGATCCTGTTCCCATATGCAAAAAGTGCTGTGGATTTGGGAAAAGTTTACATTGGCTTGAGCTGCTTTAAGCAATGATTTAGTAAGTTGGTGCTGTTTATTTGCCATCTGGTGAAGGATCCAGTTTTTTGGCACAACAGAGTAAATATTTGAAATGCAACATTTACTAGTGTGCCAGAAGGCTGATCCTGTCAATTCTTGTGGAAGCAAAAGTCTTAACGAACAACATCATGAAAGCTACCACAAGGACAAGGCTTTTTCTTCATCCATCACACATTAAAATGATCTTGTGAGTAGGCCTTGAATTCTTTTGGTCCACACTGGTGAAGTCTGAAATGTGTAACTAAGCTTTTGGCCATTGGGTGGCCTCTGTGACATCAATTTATCATTCTTTCCAAACCCTGCCACTCTATTGATCTGTCTGTCTGGCAGTCTTAGTTAAGCAAAGAAATGGGATTTCCATCCCTCTCCAGTATGTCACTAAAATCACCAATTAAGGAGACTGAGCCGTTATTAGAAGTAGACATTTATTGAGAGAAAACTAACACCTAAACAACATTTTTGTCTTTTTTTCCTGCAGGAGGGAAAAGGTTTAGATTTGACTACATTCTTTACACCCAGCTCAAACAACCTGAAGTGCATTAAGGGTGCTATTTTTACTTATCTCTCCCCATCTCTGTATTGTTTATTTCATCAGGTTTCTCTGGCAATTGTGTCGGCTGCAGCAAGAAAGGCTTCTGCTACTTTACAGAGTTTTCCAATCACATCAATCTTAAGCTGACCACTCAGCCCAAGAAACAGAAACACTTAAAGTATTATCTGGTCAGGAATGCACAAGGAACTCTGACCAAAGGATCTGCAATCTGCTGGAAGGGGGCAGGTGAGATAACAAAGCAGTTTCATTAGAGCTCTGGGTTTCTTTGGGAGGATTTAGATTATTGCAGATATGTGACTCCTTAGAAATCAATCTAAGGTTGAAGGGATAAATGAAAACTCTTTAAAAAAACCAATAAAATGATTCATGAATACAGGCATCTGTTACTAAGGAAGTTACAGGCTAGCTTCAAAAGTAGTTACAGAGGGGAAAGTTGAACACTTGCCAAGTTGCACTATTGAAGGTATGAGCTTCACTCATGCTAGATTTGTGTCTTCCAAGAGTTAGCCATCTCGCCCACTGTGCCTGCAGCATTTTCTCCATTCTTCTGAATGAAATTTGTTTGCCATTCCTTCCTTCAGGCTGATCAGGACAGCCACCACCCATTCTAGGGCTTTTCTGTAGTAGCTCCATTCATGGAACAGTCTTCCTTAGGGTGTCATAAATAACTTTGTTATTCAGCATGTAAGGCCAAATTGTTTAGAAGGGCTTTCTGTTTGGATGATAGTTATTTTTAGAGGGCTCAGTCAGTTGCCTGCATTTGAAGACAGCTGGCTAGCCTCATCTGGAAACAATGCATTCACATCTCATGAAGAAGGCAATAGGGCATTCAGGATTATGAATCTGACTTGGTGGTATGTTGGCTAGCATGACAGATTTTGTTATGGGAAATTCAGGAGCTTTTTTTAATCAGCTACGAAGCTGAGGGCCAATTCACAATTTCTATGGTGAGCAAATGGGTCATGCATATGACAGTGTTTACAGCAATAAATGCTATATTAGCAGCATCCACATGGAGGTTTCTCACTTCCTTGACTTCCAAACTGCAGTGGATTTTTCATCTGGAGCATCCATCAGACACCCTCTAACTGCAGTTTCCTGGCTTGCTTTCTCAAATGTAGTTTGCTACAGTCTTTCCAGAAAGAATGCGATCCAACTACATTAGCAAGCTGTCTGGATGGGAAAGTGCACATTTTCAAAGGTTCTATCTGTTGCCATGACAGAATCATAGAATCACATAGTTGGAAAGGGCCATTCAGTCCATCTAGTCCAATCCCCTGCTCAGTTCAGAATCAACATAAAGCATCCCTGACAAGTGTTTGCCCAGCTGCTGCTTGAAGACTACCAGTGAGGGGGAGCTCACCACCTCCCTAGGCAGCCGATTCCACTGCTGAGCTAATCTTACTGTAATTCCCCCCCCCTAATATCCAGTTGGTATCATTCTGCCTGTGATTCAAACCCGTTATTGAAAGTCATGCCCTCTGTTGCCAACAGGAACAGCTCCCTGCCCTCCTTTGACAGCCTTTCAAACACTTAAAGAGAATGATCATGCCTCTCCCCTCAACCTCCTCTTTTCCAGACTGAATAATCCCAGATGTCTCAGCCTTTCCTCATAGGGCTTGGTTTCCAGGCCCCTGATCATCTTTGTCACTGTCTTCTGTACCCACTTCATTCTCTCTACATCCTTTTTGAAGTGTGGCCTCCATAACTGCCCGCAGTACTCCAGGTGTAGCCTGACTAATCCAGTGTACAGTGGGACTATGGGCTGCCCGCAGTACTCCAGGTGTAGCCTGACAAATCCAGTGTACAGTGGGACTATGGACATCTTGTGATTTGGGTGTGATGCCCCTGTTGATATACCTCAAGACCTCATTTTTGCCTCTGCATCACACTGACAGCTCACACCATTTGGATGTGATGCCTCTGTTGATACACCTCAAGACCTCATTTTTGCCTCTGATTCACACTGATTGCTCACACTGCTTACAGTCCACCGTATCCCAAGATCTTGTTTATACACACTGCTCAGCTGAGCCTTTCTGCTTTCTCTCTTTCCTCTGTCAGAGTTTCACCATTTTCACCCAACAGTGGGCCTATCTCCACTTTTACCTTGCATTTGCTCCTCACATAGCCAAAGAAGCTTTTCTTCTTGTAGCGAGCCTTCCTGGCCAACCTCAGCTCACTCTGAGCTTTGGTCTCTCTGATGGCTGACCTGCAGTGCCTAGCAACCCTCAGATACTCTTCTCTCCCATCTCCTGAACATTTCCTGTTTCTTCCTTAGCTTATCATGGAGTTCTCTGTTCATCCACATTGGTTTCTCATATCCCCTACCATGTTTCTGTCCCGTTGGAACAGTGATGGCTTGAGCTTGCAAGAGCTTTTGTTTTAGGAGAGCCCACCCTTCATTTGCTCCTTTCCTCTCCAGCATTCTTGCCCGTGGAATGACTCTCATCATGCCTGTGAGCTCATGATGTTCTAGTTCCTTTGAATTCCCAGCTTTCATTTAAAAAGGGTAAGTCTTTAGCCCTTTCTGTTGTGCAGATGCACATATCTCTGCAACAAAAAGGGCTAGAGGCTTTCTTTAAAAAAATGAAAGCTGCAAACTTAGAAGACCTGGTAGATCAGGAGTCCCCAACCTTTTTGAGCCCATGGGAAACTTTGGAATTCTGACACAGGGTATTTGGGTGCAGCATGGAAGGCAGAGCCAGCCGTAAAATGGCAGCTGCAAGAAGTGAAGCTGCACATACGCAAGTGCACACACCCACAGGAAGCTCAAGTGCCGGGGAAGGGTAATGTTTATTGATTTATTTGTTGGACTTCTATACCACCCTCCCTGCAAAAATGGGGCTCAGGGCGGTGTACAATAACTTAAACAAGAAACATTTTAAAATTCAGATCTACTAAAATACTAAAAAAAATGTACACTATCACAGAATCCTGTATGGTGCCATGGTGTACAGATTTCTGAACCCCATTAATTGGGGGGAGGGGGAGTGAAAGGCATAGCTGATAGAACCATGGCTGTCCTCAACCATATGCCTGGCGGAACATCTCTGCTTTGTAGGCCCTGCGGAACTGTAACAGGTCCTGCCGGGCATGGATGTCATTTGGCAGAGAGTTCCGCCAGCTCAGAGCCAGGGCCGAGACAGCCCTGGCTCTGGTTGAGGACAGCCAGAAATCTCTCAGGCCAGGGACCTCCAGTTTTAAAAAAATACACTAGGAAAGAGGAGTGTGAGAGAGGATGAAACTAACATGGTGCTGATTGCACAGCCAATCAGATCTCCCGTGTCCAGTCCTGTTGTGCAAAAGCCCCATTCATTTTCTTAAAAAAAACCTTGGGCATCAGAAGCAGTGCCAAGCGGGTGCCATGGTGCTCATGGGCACCACGTTGGTGACCCCTATAGTAGATCATGGCAGCAGAACATTGTAGCATTGCTGCACCGTGGTGGTCTAGTAACAGCTGATTTAAAAGACAACAGCCCCCCCCACCCCAAAGCCATCCAGTGGTACGGTTGAAGAAAAGTGGCAGGTAATGGAGGAAAGGACACACAACACTCGCATGTGGGCGCTCGTGTTGCCGGCGTGAATGCCTCTGCAGCAGTAGTTGGAAGCTGAGAAGCACATGGGGTGGAGGCACACTGTGCAAAATTGTAAAGGCGTCAGGGGAATCAAGCAGTTCTCACTGGTCAAAGCACGCCATTTGTTTGTTTTTTAAGAATTCAGAAGCCGTCAGTCCTCCTCCAGCGCTCGTTCCAGTACCTTGTTCCAGCCTCCAGAGAATACCAGCTCCTCGACAGCTGTTGCAAATGAACCAGTTCTAGCCGCGCATTCAGGTGTTCAAGCAGGGATGCACCAGATGGGTAAATAAGTCTTACTGTGGTATTCTGCACTCTTCTTTCTGTGCATGTAAATATCGCAAGCCTGGGCAGGTATAGGCAAAACAGAATTATGCTGGAAGACCAGAATGTACAAGGATGTCAAAGATGCATAGGTGATTCCCAGGTTTCTGCTTCGGTTTTCACTACTAGAATCAGAAACATGAAAACTAGTGCCAGGAAAGTAACGTGGACAATCCCAATGGTAAGACTGTTTCCCTGGCATTTCTTTGGGGGACTAGACAATTGCCAGTCAAATGGGTATAGGACAAGTATCAAGTTAAAGTGTACATGACGAGTGATACGAGTTCAGCCACATGCAATACTTACACTACCCATACAAAAGCATCTCTGCATAGGCAAGTCTCATGGCTCACGATGGCACAGAATTAGGCCGTTGTTTGGGCAGTGGCTGCAATTTTGAATATGGCATAGTGAAAAGTGGGAAGTGGTTTGTTTTCAATGGTGATAATAGTACCTTTCAGATACACACCTGGCCGAAGGACATATTAGTGTAACATCTTAGGATGGCACTGTAAGATGATTACTCTTCTGGAATATGAAACGTGATTCAAGGCATCATTGCACTGTAGCTGGAACAATTAAAAAGCTATTGCACAATGCAGTGGTGCTCATAGTACCATTCATATATACATTCTGGGCTGAAGGATGTATCAGTGTAAATGCACACTAGGAGTACTAGGCCTCTCAACAAAACTCAACAAACAGAAGATTTCCAGCTGGGAACAAATAAGCAATGATCGTTGCTTCTTGTTTTTGTTCCATGAATGTATGCACCCTCTCTTATGTGGGTTTTCCTTTCTTACTGGGTCATGGCATTGGACTGGGCTATGCCAGCCAGTATTACAACTGAATTACAACAACCCAGAATTACAACTGAACTCCAGACAACAGAGAATCTGTCCTCCCCCCCCTGCCTTTTTAACCCAAACCCCTGCTATTTAGCCATTCACACTGCAGGAGGAATCCTCCCCAATCCCAGCTCCAGTTCTTCTTTTGCTTCTGGCTCTCTTCCCCCACAGGCCAGTTTGGTGTAGTGGTTAAGTTCATGGACTCTAATCTGGGAGAATCGGGTTTGATTCCCCACTCCTCCACTTGCAGCTGCTGGATGACCTTGGGCAAGCCATAGTTCTGTCAGAGCTGTTCTCTCAAGGACAGTCCTGGAAAGAGCTCTTTCAGCCCCACCTACTTCACAGGGTGTCTGTTGTGGGGAGGGGAAGGGAAAGGAGTTTGTAAGCTGCTCTGAGACTCCGAGGGAAGGATGGGGTACAAATCCTATCTCTTCACTTCTTCTTCATCATCATCATCACCATCACCATCATCATCATCATCATCTCTCTCTGTCTCTCTGGCTATCAGCCAGTCTATGTCTTACTGTCAACGTGGCAGGGCCTGGAGAAGACCCCTGTGGTGGCCATTTCAAAAGCCATTGGGGGGGAATTCAACCCTCCCTGCTTTTTTTTTTAAACTTTTTGGATTTTTCTTCAGAATCACAGAGTCCCCTGAGTCTGTAGAAAAACCTGTTGGGGGAGAGTGTGCCCTCTGTTTGCGGAAATAAGTATCCGCACGCAGAGGGGACTGTTGAGAATTAGATATATAGATATAATGGCATCTGACCTTAAATGATTGTTTAGAGGAGATAACTCTGTTGAGTTCAGTAGAGATACTCCATGAAATACTGAAAAGAAAGGTGAAGGCAGATAGCTTAGTAATGTAAGCTGTTCAATGTGTATGTTTCCAATTTCCTTTCCTTTTCATTCTCACAGCATCAGACCAACTCCCATCAACAGTATGCTACCCAGTTTACAACGGCAAAGACTCTCCCCAGCAGCATTCAGCAAAAAGCAATTTATCATCAGTGACAAGACCATCAGTATTAGGTATCTTCTTCTGAACTGAGAGTAATATGTACATAAATGTCTGGGGCCTTTGCCTGGCTTGGACCCAAACCACCCCCCCCCACTCTGTGTAGGAAGACCCACTTCAGGGCTGAGATGCCCTAACCCTGGCCTCTTACAGGGGGCTGGCAGAAGTGCTGCAGTTGCAGCCAATGAGAAGTGCCACAGAGCCGGAAAACAGGAAGCAGCTCTAGCCTTCCTGGCAGCCCAGAGAAACACATTGTCAGCTGCCTCGTCACCAGTGCTGACGGTGGCAAACAGCAGCAGCAGGAAGCCAGCAGGGACCAAGGACAGGCCTCCATTTAGCGCCAGGCCACCAAAGAGGCAGGCAGGACTCCGGCAAAACCCACGCTCCCGCCTGCAACCACAATCCAAGCTGGGAGTTGGCAGCTGGGACAGGCCAGGGCTGGTGGCAGGTTGGGCCACGACATGACCACTGCCCGTGAGGGATTGGAAAGAAGCCAGTGGGGGGAGGGAGGGGTAGATGTGGGAGAAGGGGCAGCTCTGGAAACTGACTGGACTCGACTGGGCAGGACTGACAGTCAGTCTGGGAGAGGGACCTGATTGGTTTCCTGGGAGGGAAAGGGCAGGGTTAGGTCCTTTAAAAGAAGGCTTCTCAGCTGGACTGGGAAGGAAGCAGGGAAGGGAGACTTCCTGACGGAAGGAAGGACCATCCCCAGAAAGGGGAGACCAGGTTGTACCTCCTCTCCTTCTATTTCTGCACCAATCGGGGGCAAGATGGGTAAGGACCGAGTCACAGGGACACTGGGGGAGAAGCCTCACAACACAATACTTGAGATAAATTAGCATTAGTTTGGATGTTGTAGAAACAGAATACTGTGTACAACGTATATCAGTGGTGCTTCCTGACGGCACGTACAATCTTCTTGCATGTCTCAGGGAGATGCACTTGGTCCTCGGCTTTATGGTATACATCACATTTTACACATGGTCAAAAAGTAGGTGAGGTTCTTTCTTCTACAGGGTGACATGCCGTAACTATACCGACATGTATATAGAAAAATTATGAACGCATGATTGCCCTTAGACCCACTGGTGTTAATCTAACGGATTCCTCAGTTCTTGTTGCTTGGATCCAAGAACGCTGCTTCATGTATTTGTATGGGAGGAGTCACCAATATCTTCCAAACTGCAGCACACCATTTCACACCCCCCCCCAAACTGCTCAACCATTTTTTGCTGCATGTGTGTTTGTGTGCATACGTACAGGTTGCAGATGAGGGTGGGGAATCAGCTATAACCCCCTGCAGAAGCGTAAGTGCCTTCCTACATTTGGGATCTTTGGACCCCCAAGCCTTTGTATCCATTGCACGGAAGTAATTCTGTCCGGGGTTAGTCTACCCACGCTCCACAAGTGTGAAGAGCAACTCTTGTGACTGATGCCTTCGTACTAGTGAGAGGGAAGCTACTTGGCGAAAACAGTAATTAGTATGTAGAATCATGGCCTGAATAAATTTTAGTCCAGTGTAACTGGCTGGCTTTTATTTCCTGAAATGAGATAAACTTTATTAAGAGAAAGATTCAAAGACTCCAACATAGTTATTTCTGTGACAGTTCAAATGAAAATAGCTTAGATCTATCAATCATATCCCCCCCTCCCTTACCTGCAGGGTGCTTAGGGACAGGTGGTATTGGGGTGGGACGGGACTTTGAAACAGCCCAGGAGTAAAACAGGCCAAACTGCCCCTGTAATACTGGCGATACCACCAGAGTGGCTGGCTTCTGACTGCCGTTAACCCTCTGGTAACTTTCCCTGGAGGTTAAAGACTAATCAGTGCGGAATACATAATTCTCCCCTTATTTGTATTCTGACATCAGTCCTGTGAGCTAAATTAGGCTGAGGGAAAGTGAGAGCCCTAAGATCACCCAGCCAGCTGGCTGAGTGGGTATTTGAATGCCCCCCTTCCGTTCACTGAATGCTGTGCTCACGCAATCACTTGGCTCACACAAGCTGCTAAATTAACATTTAAGACCAGTGGAATGGGTCCGGATCAGACTTTTTTTTTTTTTTAAGTTGTATTTTCTGGGTCACCAGAAGTCAGTAAATCTGTAACTTCTGAAGAACATAACAAGAACACTTTATGGTCCTGGGCCTGCCAGAAAAGAATCTAGCAGTCGCAGAGAAGAGCAGCTCCTCTCATGCTGTACCTGTTCTTTGCGCAGAGAACATAGTGCTAGGAATCAAAGTTCCCTGCTCATAGTACAAGTACAGGACAGGAAGCTCTAGTGCAGTCTTTTCCAGACAGCACTGGTGTAGCCTTCCGTTTCTGTGTTTGTTCATTCCAAGGCCAAACTCCACTGCGTGCACAGAAGCAAATGCTTGTTCATTTACAAATGGATATACGTGCTTTCTCCCCCTTTTAATAGAAGCTACTGAATTAATGGAAATGTCCAAGAGGTGGCGTGGTTAACGATACTAATTTTTATCGATAGGGAGAGGGGGAAGCATTCCTGCTAGAGGAAGATGAATGCATGACCCAAGTGCAGTTTAAGTGGTTGCATACCGCCATCTTGTGGTAGAACTGTAAAACAAACTAAATGTTCTCTATAACCTCAGCCCCGTCCCCCCTCAGTTAAGGGAAGAAATTATGGGCTCTGGCTGGGTTGGTTAATGGAAGGGGGAGAAGTGAGGAGAAGAAAGTAGCAATACTTCTAGTTCATTGGCTTCTATTGCTCCTAACCAAGAGCTGAATTACTACTACTACTACTAGTAGTAGTAGTAGTAGTAGTAGTAGTAGTAGTAGTAGTAGTAGTAGTACTACTACAACAAAAGGAAAATGCAGTTTTAGTAGTAAAAAAGAGCAAGAGTCTAGTAGCACCTTAAAGACTAACAAAACTTGTGGCAGAGTATGAGCTTTTGTGAGTCCCAGCTCATACCCTGCCCTGCCACAAATTCTGTTAGTCTTTAAGGTGCTCTTGGACTCTTGTTCTTTTCTACTGCTACAGACAGACTAACATGGCTACCCATCTTGATCTATCTCCATGGAAGGCAGTTTTAATATAAACCCACAGACCCTCTAATCACCTTTTATCCTTTGCAAATGAAACTTAAAATACAAGCAGAGTTTATTCCACAAAGAGGGATGGGTAGTCAATGTTGGACCCACATATTTGGGCGAAAACTCGACACAATTTAAAATTAGCACCACAGAAGTCAGAGTCTTTAACACATCTCCCTCCCGAGTTCTCAAGGCTCCCACATTCCATCTTCTTTCAGTTTGTTTGGCTTTCTATGGTGCTGCTGTGAACAGAGAACACCTCCTTCTCCTCAGATGGGTTTCATCTCCTTTTGCCAGTTTGGTGTAGTGGTTAAGTGTGCGAACTCTAATCTGAGGGAACCGGGTTTGATTCCCCACTCCTCCACCTGCACCTGCTGATGTGACCTTGGGTCAGTCACAAGCTCTGGCGCAGCTGTACTTGAAAAAGAGCAGTTTCTGTCAGAGCTCTCTCAGCCCCACCCACCTCACAGGGTGTCTGGTGTGGGGAGGGGAAGGGAAAGGAGTTTGTCAGCCGCTCTGGGACTCCAAGTGAAGGGCGGGGTATAAATCCAATCTCTTCTTCTCTTCTTCTTCTCTTCTCATAACTCTCCTCCTTTCCTCATAAACCTCCTTTTTATCCCTTGGCCACCTCCTATAAACTCCCCTTCGAGGACAAAAACCCTCACAAATTCTACCAGGGGGCCAAACCTATAGGTTACACTTAGAATAAGCACGTAATTCAGACAGAGAAGATCTTTATGCCAGTAATTATTTGTTTTAACCAATGTCATCTAGGGACTTTAACAAATTCAGGGCCTCCAAAGAAACGCCACAAAGGCTGGTCGCCAGAGTCTCCATCGTCTAACGAAGCCTGGCATTTGCAACCCAACCCACAGATCACCTATCGAAATAAAAATGGTAAGTGAGGAATATTTTTTGTAGTAGGAACTGAGCTGTTGTGTTAGGGAAAACAGCCAACATAAAGCATAGTCACAAGGCCATGGTAACATCTGCATTAGACTACTGAAACATGCTCTAGATGGGGCTGTGTGGTCTAGAAATGTCCACAGGTTTAAAATGAGGCTGCAAGGGTCTTTACTATGACACACTGGAGTAATAATGTGAAACCAGTGCTACTTCAGGTTACATTAGCCCTCAACTTGTTTTCAGGCTCAAGTTCAGGTTGTGGGTTCATATCTGGCTTAGGTCTGGAATATCCTGCCAGCCTGCCCTGTTTCTAAAGTCATGCATAGTGTCTTCCTGTGGGAACTGGCCTTAGATGAAATTAGGTTGGGTGGGACCGGTGGGAGGGCTTTTTTGCTCACTCCTGCCTTCATTGTTTCAGGACTCAGTTAAATACTTTTCATTTCTAGTATGCTTTTAAACTGGATTAAATAGGAACACTGCATGTTATTTTCATTCTCCAGTCTATTTTAGATGTTTTGTATTACCTTTATATTAATGTTATGAGATCATTGTTTTACATTTGAGTTTACTTGTGAACCATTTTGAGGATCTTTGGGTAGAAAGACAGTTGGAAGAGATTATAAATGAATAAACAAGTACTGGTGATGCCTACACGAAAGTCTTTGGCCTTTCTGGTCATGTGACATTTGAAAGCATAAATGAATTCTCCCCTCTCTCTTCCCAGAGCCAACATTTTTTGTAAGTACATGATTTTTCCCCTTAACTTTTCCGTTATAATTTAGTTCTGGCTAAACCCTTTGCATTGATTCCTAGAGGCAGGAGGAGGGCTTTCCTGTTTACCTCATGCTGCCGTGGTAGGACCTATGTCATCTCCTGTGGTGACCTCTGGAGAGCCAGTTTCAGTTCCTGATAACCTACTGAAAATATATAAAGCAAAGCCAGTCCTATTCAAAGGTAACACATAATGTTTCAAACAGGCACTTTGAAGAAGTGTGTTCTCCTTTTTACCCTATACTCTGTTTTCTCCTCTTGCACATGTGGAATCCAATGCAACTGTGCTTTGTTTCACAGGGCATGGAAACTTCCCTTACCTTTGCGGGAACCTTAACGATGTCATAGTCAGTCCCCTTTTGTATACGTGTTACAAGAATTCACAGTCTCTCTCTAGGGCTTATGAGCAATATGGAGCCTCAACAATACAGCCGATTTCAGATGAAATGCAGCTTTTACTAACAGTCTATTACCTTGTTCAATTGGGTGAGTTTTCCACCTTTGACTCCTGTCCCATTAAAGAGGAATTGATTTGAATTGCAAATGACCGCTGAGAAAGAAACTTTAAGATATAGTGGTTGCAGTAGAAGTTCTTCTTTGACGTTGTAACTGTAAATGAAACACAGAATAAGCCATGTCTCAAAAAATGTTGGAGAAATAGTTGCAGAATATTTAAGTATCTAAGACAAACAGGGACTCGCAAGAAACTCGCATGGAGGTGGATGCAGGCACCCCAACCTCTGCTCTCTTCCCTCTCCCTCATTCTCTAACAGCAGCTGGCAGAGCTGTTGGGAGCTGCTGCGTCGGCTGCTGAAGTAAGGCATCTGCTCATGTGCGGATATTGTTTTGGGGGGTGTTAAACCCGCAATTTTTGTAAATGGTAAGACTTTTCTGTAAACTTGGGTGGTTCCCCAAGTTTGGAGAAAAATCTCCTTTCTGTCAGAATGGGCCCAACCTGCGGATTTAGATATCCGCAGATTGGCCCACATGTGGCTATTTTATGTATGGATACAAGAGAGTGAATTCTAATTCTGAAATAAGTAGTTGCCTGAAGTTTATACAGACTTGATCTTTGATATGCTTTTGATTATGAAGACTGATGGATGGGGCGAAAGAAATAATTTTTACAATGAAACCTGACATGAGGGAAGGGATATTTGCTAGTCCTGGAACGCCACATTTTATAGGTATTATTTCAGCCATGGTTACTTTGTTGACCCAAACCCAACAAGAGGGAAAATCCCTATTCCTCTTGAGCCAAATATTATAATTAATTCAGGGAATACTCCCAAGTTGCTAGCACTAGATATTTCAATAACTAAAATCTGACTAACTGGGACTCGTGGACTTCATATTCTGAGTTGGAATATAGCTGGCTGGGCCTCGAGAGTTTATTGTAAAGATACCAAAGCTTTTATGGCTTCTTTTGTTATTTTACTTCTTCAGCAGACCTGGTTAATGGATGAACCTATCCTGGTTATCTTACTCTCTATCAAAGAGCACCTTATAGGTCTGGGGGGGGGGAGGCCATGAGGGGCCTAGCTTGTTTAATTTCAATTACTTTGAATATAGGACCTTGCGACCTCCTGGTGGCAGATGATGATAATTGCTTTTTTATTTAAGTTGGATAACGTGACAGTTATCCTTTCCGCTGTTTACATTCCTCTACCCACTCCTACTATAGTGATTCAGAGATGGGACCATCTGGGAAAAATTGTCAATGACTTGCAGGCTTCTTTTCCGAGGGACCCCTTTGTACTAGCGGGTGACTTTAATGCAAGGATCGGCAGTGATGATTATACACTTGTCTCTAAACTATTAGGTCCTGATAATGATGAATTTCTCAGCCCTGCTTGGCATAATAGGAAATCTAAGGACGATATAATAAACAGAGGTGGTTTGGAGCTGGTTAAATTTGCAATTCAGAGAAACTTTATTCCATTGAATGGCTACTCAGAGGTTGATGGAGCCAGTGATTTCACTTATGTGTGTCCCAAAGGATCCAGTGTAATAGATTATATTCTGGCCCCTCTTGACTATCTCTCCCACTTTGAGTTCCTAAAAGTTGGTGATTACAAGTCTCCTTTTCTATAGATTTATCTTTAGAACATTACCCTATTCTAGCACACAGCTTCCCTCTTTCTCAAAATCAAAATAAAGTTTGTCGATTATGCTGAAGCTCCAACACTAGTGACAAGGCTCAAACCATAATGGGTTCCATCCCTTCTAATAGTCTTGCGGTCTCATTCAGGGTCTTGCAGTCTGATTCAGTGCTCAACTGTTTGCATAATTTGGATGAGGTATTAAAATTGTTCAGACCCCTTTACGTGAAAAAGTGCCTTGATAGGATACTCTTCGAAGTTAAGAAGAATAGCTGGTTTAATAGTGACTGTAAAAGAATTAAAAGGTGGATTCAACAGAAGCATCGTGAGTTCAAAAGTAGCTGTACAATATCAGCCCTTCGAGAGCTGATGGAACTGAAGAAAATGTGCAGAGAACTGATCAAAATGAGGAGACGGATGGCCCTCAATAAGGAATGGGGATATCTCATTTCAGCTATTAATAACAACGATAATAAGGCCTTCTGGTCTATCATCAATACTGCTATAAACCCAGCCTCTAAAATCCCATGCTGTATTTCCCCTCTGACATGGGAAAACTATTTCAAGAAGCCACATTTCAAGCAATGGGCCAAACAACTCTCCCCCTGAAATGTTTCTGTTTTGGGTAACAATGTGAGGGGGAAATGCTAAAGCTCATTCTGCCCACTTCCGTGGTTCTGGCCAGGGCAAAAATCAGCATACTGAACGAACAAAAGAGAACAATCAAATAATGCACAACTGCGACAGAGTTCACAGACTGGGTCCAGGGTCCCCAGCATTTCAAATCATGTGAACTCTTGTCTCATGGAAATTGACCCCCATTTATCTCCAAAAGGTATAAAACCAATAATATTTGTTGAGAACAAAGTTTGAGTTCAGTGGCACCTTTAATACCAACAAAGTTTAATTCTGGAAATACTCTTTAATGTGCGTGCACACTTCATCAGTACCCCCCTGAATCTATCTTAATATTTGTTGTCATGCTCCTTTTAAATTTTTTAAAAATGTTTATTAATATTTTACAAGGTTTGAAACACAACTAGGAAGTAATTACAATCAGTGAGCTATAGTAATTGAACTTAGTGAATATACTGTAAAGGTAAAGGTTCCCTTGCTCCAAAGCCAGTCGAGTCCGACTCTAGGGTTGCGGTGCTCATCTCCGTTTCAAAGCCGAAGAGCCAACACTGTCTGAAGATGTTTCCGTGGTCATGTGGCCAGCATGACTAAACACAGAGGCGCATGGAACGCTGTTACCTTCCCACCGAAGTGGTACCTATTTATCTACTTGCAATTTCTTGCTTTCACACTGCTAGGTTGGCAGGAGCTGGAACTAGAGACGGGAGCTCACTCCATCATGCGGCCCCCGGGTCTCGAACTGCTGAACTACTGCCCTTCCACAGCCTGCAGTTCAGCGTGTTAACCACTTGAGCCACCGCAGCTCCAATGAATATACTAGCAATAAGTAAAACAGTAAATTACATACATGTGCATCATAAACAGAGTTGTCTATCAGTGCCAGTAAGCACTGCATGGCCAAGCATTGCACCAATCAATGATATAACAAATCTATCCTAGCTAGATGAGTACTTGATATTTAAAGATGCAGCAGCGTCTGGTGAGAGGGATCATATGGACTAATATTATTTGTAGTGACATATTCAAGAAATGGAAATCATTTTTCCATGAACCGAGTCATTTTCAGAGAAATCTCAGATTGGAGAAGATGGTCTGAGATTTTTTCCAGAACAAAGTGCTCCCAGACCTTGTTGTACCAGAGAGATCTTGTAGAAACAGATTGTGATTTCCATTTAAGGGCAATCACTGCCTTTGCTGCCACTAGAAGACTATTAATTAGTTCACATCTGATTATAGGAATGGTTACATCCTGCCAATAGTTCAGAAATAGTATTTCTGGTAATAATGGAACCTCGTATCCAGTTAGAAGTTTTATTTGAGAAAGTATGTCACACCAAAATTCCTTAATAAATTTACACTGCCACCAGCAGTGAGCATAAGATCCCACCTCTTCACATCTCTTCCAGCATAGAGGGGAGTGTGATGATGTCATTAGTGCTTATTTCTTGGGAGTGAGGTAGCATTTTGTTAGGATCTTGTAAGACTGCAGTTTGGTGCCGAGGACAGAGGAGGTAAATAAAGAGGATGACCAGACACTGGACCACTGGTCGTCTGTAAGAGTAATATTGCAGTTATGCTGCCATGTCAGTTGGTAGTTTAGATAATTTACATTACTGACTCAGATTAATATATCATAGACCTTTGTCATTAGTCCTTTTTTACCAGAATCTGAGCAGTTCAGGAGACATTCAAAATCAAATTGGTTTTTTTCCCAAAAAGTCAGGAATTTGCAATTGCATTACCATGTGACTCAACTGTAAACAGAAATACCATGAGATCGTGTGTTGTATTTTCTGCTCCCATATTGATTTAGCCAATATGCCTTGATTCGAAGAGATGTCAGTCAGGCGCGTAACCTTTGCCTGTCTCCAAACTTGAATTGTATGAGAATCTTTACCAGCAGGAAACCAATCTTGTTGTAGAAATGAAGAGTCTCTAGATAGCTTTGGAACCAATTTAGCTTTAAGAGAGTCCCACTTCTTAAGTATTGCTGTAAGGAAGATATTTTGCTTGATTGGAATAGGGAGAGAATGGAGCAATTCCATATTGCCTCTTGAACAGTCATGGGGCCGAGGATTGATTTTAATGCTTTTATCCAGTCAGCATGTTCTCTAATTAATAGCAGTTCAACCATGTTCATTAGGAGGGATGTTTTATAGTATGACGATATGTCAGGATAATTCAATCCACCCTTCGTGTTGCACAGTCTTAAAGTAGCAAAGCTGATCCTCAGTCTCTTACATTGCCAAAGAAATCCGTTGATAGTAGTCTGCCACTGTTTTAGTAATTTGAGAGGTATTTCTATAGGGATTGCGTGAAAGAGGAATAATAATTTAGGGAGAACAAAGGATTTGATCAGCTGAAACCTGTCTGACCAGGAGAGCTTTTGTTTACAGGCTACTATTGATAAAAAAGATTAATTCTTGATTTTTTTCTTCTTTTGATGACATTTTTGTTTATGATGCCATCTTTCTGTAGCTTCAGACCAGGTTCCTTTGATTGAGGACTTGGAGCAGATCTTCATGCGTTCATGGAGGGAGTCACATCTTTCTGAAATCCGTCAGTATCAACAAGCCATCCCACAGGCTTTTCCTCAGGTTCCCGGCCCGATTGCACCAGTGACATCTGCTCAACTTCCCTGGCTAGCGGGACTGGCAGCCAGTTCCTGTAACGACAGTGTTCACATCATTGAGTGCAGCTACTCTTTAGCTGAAGGGATCTCAGAAATGTTCAAGATGCTCATTGAGGGAAAGTTAGTGAAGACCAATTATGTGGTGATCATATGCGCTTGTCGAAACAGAGCCATTGATTCTTGCATTGCTGTCACAGGTGAGCTGCTAAGGGAAAACATGGAGCATTCCAGAATTTTAGTGGTTTGTGACTGTTGGCCCCATGTAGGTCCAAGTGTTTCCATCATCTGAGGCATAAACTCTTCCCACACTGACATATTGCCTTTGTTTATCAAGAACTATGATAATGTATATACTGGATTTTCTTCATGGGATTCTAAATGTTACAAAGCCTGTAAAAAACTTATGCTAACAATATTATTATTGTTTATTATCGGCCTCGTTCACATGGCGAAGTTGCCGCAGGAGAGCCACGATTGGATGGCGGATTTTCCTGGCGCGATCACACCACAACATCAGGCAAGTGGAGCGCACCCGTGGCATGCCGCCGAAAATGCGCGATTAAAAAATACCTCCTCAAACGGTTTGCCACGGGCTGCCTCTGGACTCCCTTGGTGTGATTGCGCCGGCGTGGCTTTTCCCTCCGGCCGTCTTCATTGCCACGCACATGCTGAGGGCCAGAACCATGTGTCTGATCACATTATCGCGTGGCTAATTGCAGTGCCGCAAATAGCCACGCCTCCCCCCCACGTTTTCCGGGCCGTGTGACCGGGGCCATTGATTATTTTAATGAAAAAAATGCTGCCTCTCCAGTGAACTACTTGAGGTGGCTAACAACATAATATAAAATAAAAATTGAAATTCAGTTTTAAACAACCAAATCAAAATAAAACTAAAAGAAATCCAGCAGCCAATAAAACTAATGTATCCATGGGCAGAAGCAACATTAAAACAGTATGAACGCAGGCTAAATCCTACATAAAACATGATGGAAAGTGGCATTAGATCATAAAAGAGATTAAAAATAACCTACTAAAAGTTGAGGTAAAACTCTGGGCAAGCTAGACCTGATGCCTGAATGCCAACAGCTCATGTGTCAGGTGAACCTCTAGGGGATGGATATTCTAAAAATTTGGTGCCACCACTGAGAAAGCCCTGTCCCCAGTTGCTACCCTTCTTATCTCCATGGGAGTTGGCACAGAGCCAGAGACGAGGACCTTAATTTTGGTGTAGTGGTTTGGTATAGTGGTTAAGTGTGTGGACTCTAATCTGGGAGAACTGGGTTTGATTCCCCACTCCTCCACTTGCACCTAGCTGGATGACCTTGGGCAAGCTGTAGTTCTGATAAGAGCTGTTCTTGAAAAAGAGCAGTTTCTGTCAAGAGCTCTCTCAGCCCCACCTACCCCACAGGCAGTGTTCCCTCTAAGCTGAGTTAGTGTGAGCTAGCTCATGATTTTTTAGCCTCTGGCTCACACATTTTTGTCTTAGCTTAGGATGGATGGCTCCAGAGCAAACTCATTTATGCAGTGGCCAAATTGCTCACTCACAGCTTTAATGCCAGTAACTCACAAAGTAGAATTTTTGCTCACAAGACTCCACAGCTTAGAGGGAGCATTGCTCACAGGGTGAATGTTGTGGGGAGGGGAAGGGAAAGGACTGGAGTTTGTAAGCCGCTCTGAGACACCTTCAGGTAGTGAAGGGCGGGGTATAAATCCAATCTCTTCTTCTTCTGTCTTTTAATTGGTGAGGAGAAGGTGATAATATTGATTCCCATTGCTTACAACACACAGTGAGTGGTGTAATGTGCTTGGCTGCATGACAAGTCTGCCCATGCAGTTTATAACAGAACCTTGGTCTAAAAGCCACACTGCCCTTGGCTCAGGTATATCACAATACAGCTACATGATTTGATTACCTGGACATTAGAGTTTGGCTAGACAAACTATGGGGCAGAAGAAGCAAGGCAGTCCATCAAGCCCAACAGCTAGTGATAGTTCCAAAATTTAATACTGAGCGTTGTTTTTAATGTTAACAATTGTTCATAAACTGTGTGTGTGTGTGTATACACACACACACACACACACATACACGCCATGTGAGGTAGGTTAGGTTTGTTATCCCCATGTTGCAGAGGATGTGCTGAAACCGAGAGTGGCTTGACCAAGTCCACTTACAGCAGTGCCATTGCTAAGCAGAGCCACACTCTTTTAAATCCATGGATTAGAATGGTATAATTCTGCTGAGTACAGTACTGTTAGTGAAGTTTGAACCAGGAACCTCTCATTTCATGATTTCATTTTTTCTTAGCCAGCTGTTCTACACTGCCTCATGGGTTTAACTGAATTTAACAGTTACTTCTTCAGGAGCACTGGATCTACACATAATTGGATATTGTGGTATCCTTCTGCAATAGCAGTCATTCACACAGGAAAATCTGGTACCAAATGATTGCTATAGCACAGCAGCCATTGCTATGTGGACACAATCTTATGAAATAAACATTTTTTCCCCTCTAGATGTCAGCAAAGATCTGATTTTCTGAGTTGATTTCCAGGAGGGAATTAAATGACTGACATGATGTGGCAGAAGAAAAGTGGAGAATAGAGCCACCCTACAAACTAGTCTTGTAGCAAAATTAAACTGCAGTTCCAAAGACGTTTCTTTCTTTTTTCATAGTCTGTTTTAAATTGGGTATTTGGTAAGGCTTTGTACAATTTATGCAATTGATCCAAGTGTTAGTGAGAAAGGGTCTGATAACTATTAATGGATTAAATTTAAATTGCACATCAAATATTTAAATAAATAACAGCTCATTTGACTCCTTCCTCTGTGTCTTAGGGAAATACCAAGCAAGAATATTATCTGAGAGCATGCTCTCTCCAACAGAATACCAGAAAGAAGTTAGTTATGAACTGGTGACTGGGAAAGTAGATGCCCTAGGGGCCTTCTTCAGTACTCTCTGCCCAGGTAACTCTATACAGAGACAGCTGTTTAAAGACTTTCTAAGAATACATAGATTCTGATCATTTCTGAGAATCTAGCTATCTGATGAGATTTTGTACACTGAGACAGAAATTGTATGGTGTCCCATCGCAAAATGACAGCTATGGGAGGTAGGGTCATTCACAAAATGGCTACTACGGGGGCAGTCATAAAATGTTGAGGGGTTCCAAGCCAAGCCAAGTCCTACGATAGGGGCCGCTATTTTGCAATGGATTCTTCCTGCAGACTCAAAGGTGATGCCTACTGGGGGCTTCTGAAACACCTCCTGCTCCATTATGTTGAGGAAAGCCATGATTGGCTCTTTGTTTTGGGGAAGAAGAAAGTGGACACCAAGAAACACATTAGTGGGCACCATGGGACCACACTGAGGATCATTGTTCTAGTCTATTCAGCGGCTTTATTTTGCAGCAATGCAAACAGCAGCTTGACAACTACCGCCGTTGATTACTATTATTCCTGAGGCAGCAGCAACCTCTGACAGACTGTCCAACAAATCACTGTGTAGTTAAGAAATCTCCATGGCTCATGTGAGCCAACAAGGTTGCAAGAAAGATCTGAAAACAAGAGCTGCTGCAGACAGGAGTCAGGACAAATCACTCATCCTCTGCTGTATGTTCTACATAGTTCCAGTGGGCTGCTAAGGAATTTCTACCATCTCAAATGCATCCTGGGACCCCCACATTCTGGGATGCACCTCCAGAGTTATAGCTAGAATGGGGGCCAGTGAGTACAGTAGTACAGAGCACTGATTTTAACTAAGAATTTTTTCAAAAGAAGAGGCTTTGAATTGAAGACATGACAATGTCCCTTTAAATAATGGGAACTTATTTTCAGGTATATTTTAGTTTGGTTTTTTAAAAATCCTCCTTTAGCTACGATGACTTTTGAGCACGGCAAGTTATTTCAAGGGGGGAAGAGTAATTTCTTCTTAAAGAGGGGAAGGAGCTAACTTCTTCAGACCAAGTTTCACCGACCAAGGTGTTTAAGGGAACCAGACTTCCTCAGCGATGATGTTACTGCTCCTCCCTGTGCAAATCAACTGGAGGGGATCTGGCCTTCCCTGGAAATAGTGCAGCCTGAGGTAGTGAGGAAGGCTGGCTGCAGCCCCATGTATGTCTCAGATCCCCTTCAGTTTCAGTTTGCCAGAGTTGCATTGCTGCAAGGGGTACGCCATTGAAAAGGCCTCCCAGAAGCTGTGGAATCAGTTCATTATGGAAAGCATCACTGATAAAGTTAACAGAAATAAAAGGAACGTCGTACATTTTGGGTTTGAAGCTAAATGGATGCCAATTTTAGAAGCTCTATCAGACAAAAAATTTATCTCAGCATCCTGGGATAACTATGTTAAATGGTTGTGAGGATTTTTTATGGTTCAAATAAAGTATAGTAAGTAGGCTTTGGTAAAAAACTTGATTTGTGGGTAGTACTTTGTGTTTAATAGGATTAGATATATCATTGAATGTCTACAGATATTCTTGAGGGCAGAAGACACTTGGTTGTATCTAAAGCAACAAACAGTACAGGCATCAATTACAAATTGAGGCTAAAATAAGTTACTTTGTTCAAAGATTTATTGAAGAATGTATCATTCTTTAAAGCTTACCTTTTTTGTAATTAGTGTGTTGGTTTGAATGTATAACTGTTCTTATGACCTTTATGTAGATTTTTATTGTTATATTTGTTTTATTGTTTTAATCCTACCAATAAAATGTTAATGAGAAAAGGCCTCCCAGTTGCATGTAGCTCAGCATTCTGAGCGAAACTTTACAGGAAAACATATTTAAGAATAAATAATGCATTCAGATCTGCAAAACTGCCAGCGAAAGGGATAGAACGTCTTGTACGCAGTGAAGGATGGAACATACAGGATCCAGGCCCCTTTATTCAATTAAGGCAATATTTGTAAGCAGCTTTCAAATGACACCACAAAGAGCCACTTTGGCCACCTCAGTGAGCAAGCTGTAGTTGGAAAACTAAACCTGGTTTCACATACCACTTACAGTGCTTCATGTCCACTGTCTTTAATTATTTTGCATCCCTTGTAAGGAAGGGTTTCTGAAAACTTTTTTATGATGGCGTTTTTCTTTTGGTTGACTAGATGGGGATATTGATGTTTTGCTGGACAAATTTTGTCAAGAAAATCGAGGGCACATTTCGTCATCTCTCCCGGCTTCAGTCAATAAACCGACAACGGTGGACGTAGCTGGAGCAGCTGGGTGTACAAGTAAGTTCTGTGTAGGAGGAGCCAATGTCAACCTTTTCACATTTGTAGTCTTCCTTCCCTTCACAGAGTTCAAGGAGGCCTTTTAGCTCAGTGAGAACACATCTGAAAGACAGTTATTTTAGAGTTCAGAAGGGATCTGACAGTATTTCATTTCCCACATTCAAACCCAACTCATTAGTCTCAACCTGAAACTACCACTTGAGATGAAAGGGACACCTTCTAATCTGTTGGAACTCCATAGTGCACCATACAGATTTCAGGCAGATGTGCACAGTCTGACCATAGCATTGTAAGTCCTCTGCGAGAGATCCTAGGATGCACCTCTTAGATTTCACAGCAATGTTCTTTAAAATGTCCTCTCCCCTTTAAGCCTACCATGAGTCGTTGCTCATTCAAGCCAACTCTCTTGTAGTTGTTCAATCACCTATCCTCCATTTACAATGTCAATTAAGGCATCAGTTCTTGAGATTAATTTTTGTGCTCACCACTGATGCTCTTGCATGGGGTAATTGGGCCAAGCACTACCCAATGATGATCAATTGCAATTAAAAAGCAGCTAAGTAGGAAAAGGCTAGCCTGGTCTTGTCAGATCTGAGGGGCTAAGCAGGGTCAGCCCTGGCCAGGGTTTGGATGGGAGACCTCCAAGGAATACCAGGGTTGTGACATCGAGGCAAGCAATGGCAAACCACCTCTCAACGTCTCTTGCTTTGAAAATTCTATGGGGTTGACAAGTAGCAGCAAAACAACCGTGTGCTGAAATACCTGCAAGAGTAAATGTACAAAAAGAGACTTCAGCAAAGTGAAACACATATGTTATCAGCAGTAAATCTGTACATAAAATCCATCATAGGAAATTTTTGCCTCCATTTTTGGTCCTATTCTACATAGTAGCAACCTTGAGAGGTGCACTTTCAAGCTTAGGAGACCTGGCCCATAAAGAAACTGAACAATATTGTCTTGTAAAGAAATTGGAATGAGACTTTCTATTGTGGCTCTTTGTTCCTGAGGAAGGACCAGAAGTCTGAAACACTGTATACTACCTAGGAAAAGTGTTGGATATCTACTTTGGACTTGATGCATTCTGTAGGCTTCTATATTTCCTATGATGGATTTTATGTACAGATTTACTGCTGATTACATATGTGTTTCACTTTGCCGAAGTCTCTTTTTGTACATTGACTCTTGCGGGTATTTCAGCACACAGTTGTTTTGCTGCTACTTACCATTTTGTATTGTGTGCTGCATTGTTTTGTTAATTCTATGGGGTTGCCATGAGTCAGCTGTGACTTGACAGCACTTTCCACCGTGTAGGAAAAAACTTTTTAACTTATTCTTAGAGGGTTTGAAATTTCCTGTTTTTCAAGTTATATAGCCTTCATGCTTAGCCTATGGCAGCTGGACCTGAAACAATCATGTTGATGTAGTTTTGAGCATATTTCAGTGTTTGAACTTGAGAAGCACACTTCATAGAAGAGGCTTTCTAAGTAGTCGTCAGTGAGGAGGTGAGCAGATCTGCCATAGTCTTAATTGTGAAGTCTGCATCCTTCGATTAAATAGATCTCAGAATGTATCAGGAATAAAGAGTTTGGTCTTTCCCCATCCAACTGGCTTCCCCCCCTCCCTCCTTGTCCATTCCTTACAGCTGTTTTTGGCCTCTTGTTGCCTTCATTGAGTCCAGCTATTTTCTCCAAAAATAATATGCTTGATGCCTGGTTCCCCAGTAGGTTACCCTCCATAATCCAGATTATAATGTGACATTAAAAAAACTGAAGCAAACAGAGGTGTACCATGCCAAATTGTACTTCCAGGCTGCAGATGCAACTCTTCATAGGATTCATTCTATAAATAATGGAAAAGCAAAACTTGTAAATATTTAAATACTCACTGTCCAACCCTCTCTTACACCATATTTTTGCTTTTCTTCTAGATTATAACTTTGAGCGGCATCAGATTCGACCCTTCCAGCTCGCAGTAGCTCAGAAACTGCTGTCTCATGTTTGTTCCATTGCAGATTCCAGCACTCAAAATCTTGACTTGGGCTCCTTCGAGAAAGTTGATTTTCTGATATGTGTCCCTCCTTCGGAAGTGACATATCAGCAAACGCTGTTCCACCTCTGGCATTCAGGTGCTTATTGCCACAAATGTGTACAAAATATCAAAATCTGTCAGGTTTGGATGGGCTGATGTTAGTTGTCTGCGTCTTTTAGGTGTCCTATTAGAGCTTGGTTTGGAGAAGGAGCATCTTACAAAGCAGAGGGTGGAGCAATACGTAGTCAAACTTGACACAGAAGCCCAGAGCAAATTTAAAACCTTTTTGCAGAACTCCATGCAGAATCCACACACGCTCTTTGTCCTGATCCATGACCATGCTCACTGGGATCTTGTCAGGTAAGAATGGTTTAACTTTTCGGTGTACAGTGCTAGATACGGTTGTGGTGCAATACAGTTATATTGCATTGTGTAGGATGGTGGTTTTCCAGCTATTCTGAACACATATTCACAGATCAACTTGATTCTTTTCTCACTGCCTTTGCCATTACACCCAAAATAAGTCAATGTGCTTAAGCATTCCGAATGTGACCATATAACTGAAGGATGGGAGAGCTTCCTTCTCGGTCCTCCCCACCCCCAATTCAATTCAGAAGGGTCTGGGAGGAAACAGTGTTGACTTTAATTTGAGGGTTTCATTAAAATGATAATGAGAGCAATCTTGAGCAGAGTTACACCCTTCTATTGAAGTTTATTTATTTATTTATTTATTTATTTCGGCTTCTACCCCGCTCGAACCCCCCAAGGGGTCTCTGAGCGGCTTACAGTTACTCTATTATCCCTAACTATGGCCACAACTTAATTGGGGTGGGAACTGCCCTACCGGCACCCTGTAGATGGAGCTATTGTTCTTCTTACTCATGATTCGCCCCCTTGGCCCATTGCTGGCACGGCTCCCTCCCGCTTTTCCTCCTTCTCCTCCTGCGACCCTTGGCGTCGGCTGTGGTCGTTCGGTAGATCCATTCGGTGCCTGGTTCACATTGGCGCAGCTTCGGCTCTGTTAAAGTTAATGGGTTTTGAAGAGTGTAACTCAGTTTAAGATTGCACTTCAAAGAAGGTGAATGGGGAGAATGAAACACTGCTCAACCAAGGTCTTTAGTATTTATTTATTTATTGAATTTGTATCCTGCCCTTCTCAAAAGCAGACTCAGGGCAGGTAACATCAAAATTTCATTAACAATACAATCAGTTGTCAGATATTAAAACATTAAATTTAAAACAAATTTAGATTAAAACGAAGTTAACTAAAAATGGTGATGGTACTATCTATGTGACCCTGAATACTGAGATTAGGGCTCTTTTTGTAGCAGGAACTCCTTTGCATATTAGGCGACACACCCTTAATGTAGCCAATCTTCCAAGAGTTTACAGTAGCCCCTGTAAGAAGAGCTCTGTAAGCTCTTGGGGGATTGGCTACATTAGGGTTGTGTCGCCTAATATGCAAAGGCGTTCCTGCTACAAAAACAGCCCTAAAATACATCTTAATATTTTAAATTTAAATTAGAACCATTGTCAAACACATCTGATGACTGAACTAGTGTCTATTTGACACCACTATCTGATTAATGATGTGTTTTTTCTGCGCTCAGGGAGATTGAAAATATGGATCCATGTGTTTCTGTTTTATCTTATGCACATCTTTATAAGGCTAACCCTTGGAACCACGTATTCTCTTTGTCTTTTTTTTTTTAAGCAGCACAGTTCACAGCCTTTATCCTCAATCTGATCCAGCAGTGGGCCTTGTGGACAGGCTGCTTAACTGCAGAGAGGTGAAAGAGTCCCCAAATATTGTGACGCTTCATGTGACTTCCTTCCCCTATGCTCTGCAGACACAACACACTCGCATCAGCCCTTACAATGAAATCCACTGGCCATCATTATACAACAATGTAAGGGAGATTTTTGAGGCTCTGATTTTAGGCTCTATGTGAGCTTTTCTTATATTGAGTTTGGCTGTACGAAAGATGTTGTGTGGTGTGACAGGGCTAGAACAGAATGGGGCTTAATCGCCGATCTATGGACACTTCTCTTCTACGAACCCCTTGATAACTTCCCATTGGCCTTGATTCCTTCATCACTTTTCTTCCTACTGACAGAGAACCCTTTGAGGATGGAGTTTAAAGTTTTTGAACATAGCATCCATCTGTTGACAAGCACAATGTAATATTTATTGAAATCAGTATCCTCACTTGAGCCAAGTACCCTAATACCCTACATTGCCACAGAAGATGCTGGGGTATACTCTCAGGGCCTAGCTATATGCTAGCTGTGGTGTGCCTAACCTGACTCACAGTCACACATACCTATTTGCCCCTTTCTTGGGCTCCACATGTCCTTAGTGACAGGATCCCAGGACACTGTCAACCAGCACAGTAGAGGGAAGTGCCCTCCCTCCCTTTGGCATCATTGCTGCTGGTTCAGAAGACATCAGCTGCTAGTAGCAGAGAGAGGAGGGCATACAGACTTCCTCTATACCTCACTGGGAACAGAAGAAGGAGAAGATATTTAGGTGTAATAGTTTATGCATGCAACTTCAATTTTGCAAGCCACGACATGCAAATGGCTGTTATGTAAATCGATAAGTAAGTAACATGGGTGGAACAGGCCAAGCTATGCAGAAGATGATTTTTTTTTTTGGGGGGGGGGTGATCTCAGAATCTGGCTGGCAATAGAAGAGGTGCTTGTCCATCAGAAGAGAGCTGTCCTGTCATATAACAGTTGCCTGTGTAACCCAGCCAGACTGAAATCAGTACTGATGAACATATTAGCTAAGAGGAAATGCAATATTAACTATGGAGGTAGGATAGAGTACTGTTCTCGGTCCTGAATGTATATTTGTTAAAACCCGTGAACTGCTAAATAATTATTATGAAGTGTTCCTTTACATTTACACAGTCTCGTTTATTCTAGGGAGCTGATTTGTACCATGAAAGCAAGAAGTACTACGGACTGTCTGAGTTTGTTGAATCCACCCTTTCTGGACACAGCCTTCCATTGCTTCGTTATGACAGCTCTTTTGAAGCAATGGTCATGGCTTTGGGGAAAAGGTACCGTAGGTGGCTTACAATTTTATTGACATTCAAGAGACAGTACAGCTCTGCAGAAAGGATGGTGTCCCGTGAAATAGAACGCTTGGGTCTTGTTACTAAATTTAATCTTTGCCCTTGATCAAATATATTCCTTTTTTTAAAAAATGGTATGAATATTTCAACAACAGTAGACATTCCTTTTATCTTGTTACTGGGATATCAGTGGCAAAACATATAGGCAGACATTGAAACATGAGCCCCTCTACCACACTCTCTTATCTCTCCCCACCCCAACTGTGTAGTGTGGGTGGAACGGCACTACATAAAAGGTGACTTTTCCACCTTCTCCCTCCTCATTTATGCCCCCCCTCGTATTGTGCTACCAGTGGGCCCTCAGGAACATCATGTGGGTCAAAGTAGGGGGCTACCATGAAAAGGGAGGATTAGTGAAAATTGCCCTCTTTATCTTTTGCAAGTGGGATCGTAAGAGGAAAGGGAACTTAGGATCCAAGCTGTGATGTTTGATACAGCCTGGATAAATTCAAGGTTATTATAATAATTCCTTTCCCCCTAGCCAGAAATAACGGCAAGAGTTTTAGTATCAGCCCCAGGATTTGATTTGTAGAGGTGCTTTCCACCAGTCTCTCTAAATACCACAATTATTTTTTTATATTTTCTTGCTCTTCTTAACTTAGGCCTTCTGTATTTTCCCCAGCACTCTCTCTCTCACACGTTCACACATACATTTTTATCCAGCTCAGCAGGTCTAGTGGGCAGAGCCATGGAACTTGCCCAGCTGTCACCACCAGTTAATGCTTCCTTGCTAGAAGCACCAGCCTCAGAAATACATGCTGCTTTCCCTTTCTGGTAGTCAGTATTCCTTCAGACAGATCCAGAGTTATCTTGGGCAGGGGTGTGTGTGTGTGTGCAAGCTTCCTTCCCACCTGTCTTTCTCACCTAGTGTTGCATTGAACCTGAGACACTCCGGTTCAAACTGCTACTCTCTAATCATGAAGGCCTCTGGGTGATCTTGGCCCAGTCATGCACTCTCAGCCTTACCGCCTCACAAGGTTGTTGTAAGGATAAAAGGGAGGGGGGGATGATGTGTGCCACCATGACTTACTTGGAGGAAGGGCAGGATAAAAATGTAATCAATCAATAAAATAATAAATGAGTAAATAAACGTACATGATTTTGCCAGAGATGGATCTACAGTCTGAGAAGCCATGAGGTAATGATGCTGGTGGGAGACTAGACTCAGTTACTAGTGAAGGATATGCAGATAATGCTGGTGATGAAGAAGAGTTGGATTTATACCCCGCCCTTCACTCGGAGTCTCAGAGTGGCTTACTATCTCCTTCCCTTCTTCTCCCCACAATTGATACCCTGTGAGGCAGGTGGGGCTGAGAGAGCTCTAAGAGAACAGCTCATTGACTCACTCAGCAGCTGCAAGCGGAGGAGTGGAGAATCAAACCTGGTTATCCAGATTAGAGTCCGCTGCTCTTAACCACTACACCAAACTGGCTTTGGTGGTGGTTTGCATGGGTCTGCCAAGGGAATACTGTTTTTTGGTGAAAACTAGGTAGCATCTTTCAGCACTTTATTTATTTACGTTTCTTTCCCCCCCCCCTTTTTTTTTTGGTATTTTTGCGTGTGTGAGTGTGTGTGCGCGCTCATGCCTGGAAGTCATGGCAACCTCTGGTGACTCCTACTGGGGCACGGAGGACATTCAGAGAAGTGGCCTGATAGCCTGCCTCTGCCTCCCAGCCCTGGTATTCTTTGGAGGTCTCCCATCCAAATACTTGCCAGGGTTGGCCCTGCTTAGCTTCCCAGTTCTGACGAGATAGGGCTTGCCTGGCCTATCCAGGTCAGGGCAGGTTTTTATTTATTTATGTAAGGATTGATTTTTGAGTGGCATAAAGTGGTACCTTGACAGGTCAGCTTTAGATAATTTAACAGGAAACATGGGTAAATAGTCAGAAAATGTTTCATGGACACATCATGTTCTACAAGCAGTGCACCCTCTGAAACCTTTTACTGCATTCTGTTTTGTTCCAGGTTTCCCAGACTGCATAGCGCAGTGATAAGGACGTTTGTTCTTGTACAGCACTATTCTGCAGCCATGATGGCCGTGTGTGGCTTGTCCCAGATGAAGAACTACACAACAGTTGAAACCCTAGAAATCACTCAGAATCTCATCAATTCATCAAGACAATGCCCCAGCGGTCATGGGCTTATGGTGGTTTTAAGGATTCCATGCATTCCATTGGCGGCAGTGGCTTACGAACGCCTCAACCATGTGCGGGAAAGACTTGCCCTGGAGGACCATTTTGAAATCATCTTGGGGAATCCCAACTCTGGAATCACCGTAGGGAAACACTTCGTGGAGCAACTCAAGGTAACTTATACAACCAATCAGCTCCAGAGGAGCTGAGCTCTATAGCTAATCTGGCTGCTGACCAGAAATGTCTGTTGACATGATGGCTGAATTCCAGTGGTGGACCAGCCTGTTCTACACAGGATCTAAAGCTCTTTGTATATATTCACTCACTCAGCTCTTCCTCCTGCTGGATAAGCAGCTAGTGTCAGGGCACTCGGCACTATCCCAGTGTCTTTATGCTGTGGGGGAGCTGGCTGAAGTTGAATCCATCCGAGACAGATGTCTTGTGGCTGGGAAAGACTGAGATGCCAGCTGGAGGGTCGTTCCCGAGACTTGATAGTGTCCAGTTGATAGCTGTAGACTCTCTAAAGAGTCTCAGGGTGTGGTTGGTTTCTGTGCTATCATTATATAAACAAGTATCCATGGTAGTGCGGTCAGCATTTTTTCACCTGTGCCAAGCCTGCCAGCTGGCTCCTTATTTGTCCAGGCCAGACTTTGCCACGTTGATCCATGCAACGGTCACCTCCAGACTGGACTACTGCAATTTACTCTACATAGGGCTACCCTTGAAAATGCTTCAGAAACTGCAAGTGGTTCAGAATGCAGCTTGCCAGGTTGCTGATTGGAACATCGTGGTCAGCTCATATTATTTCTGCACTACCTACCAATTAGTCTCTGGATCCAATTCAAGGTGTTGGAGTTAACTTTCAAAGCCCTCATACCTATGGGACTGCCTCTACCATTACAGCCCCCGATGCTTCCTTTGGTTGTTGTTTAGGGGCTTCTTGCAGGTGCCTGGCCCCAGGATGGTTCAGTTAGCTGTCACCAGGGGAAGGGCCTTCTCAGTTGTGGCTCCTACCTTGTGGAATGCACTCTCTGATGACACTCATGCCCTGCCGGACTTGCTTAGTTTCCTCAGAGCATGCAAAGCTGAATTATTTAGGTTGGCCTTTGGAAGGTAACCACATGTTTGGGCTGTTTTAATAGTGGTATGGTGACAGCCATGTATTTTAATGTTTTAATATTTAATGTTAATATTTTATTTGTTTTTATGTTGCTTTTACGTTATTGGTTTTAATGTGAGTTACCACAAGACCCTGCAGGTGAGTGGCAACTAAAAAAAAAGATAAATATTCTGGTATCAGTATCCAGTCATTTGAGCACTTGATGAATGCTTCGCTTGTTAATGGCTCTGTCACTAATTGGAAGGTAAGGACCTCAGAGTCCAGGGGCTTCACGTGTGTTTGCTGAGGACTGCCTGACCGGGTTCATCCTAGGTCCTCCTGCTCCTGACTCTCTCTTTAATGACACAACAATTACTGGTAACAACCAAAAGTTTACTCCCTTACAACCCGTGCTCCACTAGTTAGCCTGTTCCCTCCCCATGGGCTGGAGGATGGCTTGATAATCCCAGCCTGAAGCATAGCCTTCACCTCTTTTTGGACTGGCTCCCAGGTCTTCCTGGGTAAGGGGCAGTACAGCTTCCTCACAATCTTTTCTGGTTCGGTGTCAATGACATATTCTAGCAGGTGTGTTCTCCCAGGCACTGGTGAGAAGATGAGACGATACTTTTCTAGCACCCATCTCAACTCATCCTGCTGGTCCTCTGACAGAGACCCCACTGGGATCTCGGGTAAGGTGTCTTCCCTTTGGTTCCAGTGAGGGATGGCCAGATCGTCTGGGATGTCTTCTGCCACTGTGAAGAGAACTGCCAATTCTTTCCACTCCTTGAGCAAGTTGGCATGGAGCCATTTGATGGGTGACTGACTTGTTCCACCTTCCCCCCATATACGTTGGTCCCCTTTCATCCAACTATCAGGAATGGGCCCACTGAAGGATCACCTCCTTTATGTCCTACTACTGGTGCAGACACCAAGAATAAAGAGCCATCCGTCAAAGTCCTGTCCTTAGCCTTCCTAGCCTAGTGCATGTTTTGTGCTTGTTGGGCCCCTTTAAGGTGTTTTTGAGCCCAGTCTCAAACTGTCTGCAAGGTTTTGTGTAATCTAAGGGTTGAGGTGCTGGTTCTTTCCTGCCAGCCCAGCCTTCCGCTAGTACCGCCCTTGGTCTTCTAGGGGTACACCTGTATAGTAGGTGAAATGGAGTTTCCCTAGTAGAGTCTTGGAGCACTTCCCGGGCAGCAAACATTAATGGGTCCAATACCTGGTCCCAAGTCCTAGCACCATTCCCTGCACAGTTTCTCAACATGCCTTTCAGGGTTTGATTGAACTACTCCACCAGGCCATCAGTTTGTGAATGGTAAATTGCGGTCCTGAGATGTCCCCTCTCAGTACAGGGCAACGTTCCCACAAAATCCATCCCCACTCAAGAGAAAGTTTCCTCAATCATGGGTAGCGGCTCTAAGGGAGGTGGTGTAGGTCCTTGGTGGGAGGCCTTTTGGCACTGAGGACAAGCCGCACAATAGTCTCCTATGTCCCAGGCCTACCATGGGCCAGATGAAATGCTGAAGGATATGTTGGAGGGTTTTAGCCCTCCCCAGTTGCCCAGCCCAGATCCCTTTATGTGCCTGGGATAGAGGTTCTAGCCATAACTTACAGGGGACTACCAGCTGTTGAAACTCACCTAAGTCTGCCCAAGAGCCTCATGTGATATGCCATAATAATACCTCAGACCGCTCAGAACAGAATACTCTGCTGGCTGCCCACCGATCATTAACAGCTCCCTCCTCCACCACCACCTGCTCCCTTACCATATCCAAGGATTGATCTTCTTGCTGCCAGTGTCAGAAATCACCGTCCGCTGTCCACCTCTCCAGATCCATTACAGATGAGTTCCCTGTACTGTTTGCAGAGGGGCCCCCTGATCCTCCCTAATTGGTCTGGGGAGTTACCATGGTTAAGTCTTCCAGTTGGATTCGTGACACGGCACACATCAGGCTTTGTGGGGCACTCCTTGGGGAAGATTGGTGGGTACTAGTTCCAGATGAATGATAGTAACAACATTACAGGAATCTAGAAGAGCCTGTACTTCTTGATTGAAGATCTTTGCTTGTACTATCAGCAGGGGATTGCTGTTTCCACCCATTGCCTGGGACACAGACAGAGTCAAATTACATTCCATATAGGGGCAATCTTGTTGGAAGTGTCTGGGCTGTCCACAAGTAAAGCACAAGCCTCTAGTGGTGGGGCCTCCCAGTCCCTTTCTCCCCCCCGAATGGGGAATTTTCCCTTCAGTGCCTTCCCAGGGAGTCTTGGGTGTCTCCTTTGATGGATCCAGATTAGCTGTAACTGGTATTCTGGCACTCATCTTCAGTCCTGGCCAGCCCCTTCCTCAGGCAGGATGTTTCAGTGTCCAGGCTTGACCAAACTCCCGTGGCACTTTGAATTTTTGTTTTGGTCCCACATCTGTAGGCCAAGCCTTTTTAGGGTTCCCTTCTGTGGACTGTGTCGTGCCCCCTGTGTCCCCCATCAGATAAGCGGTCTCAACAGTCCAATAGTTATCCCACAGTTGGGCCACTCCCTCCAAAGTCGCGGGTTGCTGCTGCATGACCCAAGCCCTGCAGGCCAGCAGCATCACCTGTAGCATCTACTTGATGATTATTTGGTCTCCTATCTTCCGGTTGTGAGTCTTTCACCTTCAACCATTTTGGGGCCAACTCCTTAAGGGCATAGGCTGTCTCATAAGGTGTATCTGTTTTGTCCCTTTTATATGCCCTTAATCGCTGCCTATAGGTCTCCTGGGTTATGTGGAATTTTTTAAAGACAGCTTGCTTCACTTTATTGTAATCAGTGGCATCCTGCATATTCAAAGCCTGGTATGTTGCTAAAGCCAGGCTGGTCAGAAATGGCTCCAGTATGGCAGCCCATTGTGCCCACAGCCAGGAGTCTGCAGTAGCAGTCCTTTCAAAGTCTCCCAAATAGGCCTCTACATTATCTGAAGGCACCATTTTAGGAATATGAAAGGGCCATGCCGCCAAGATTGAATCAGCGGGGTTGGGTGTTGTGCAGGTTTGCATAATGTGTGGGAACTCCTGTAACCACCTGTCTTGGTGGTCTAACACCCTTTGAATTAATTCACCTTGGGCAGCTGCTAACCACCCCCCAAATTGCTACGGTCTAGTTGTGACACATTTGCACCTGTCGCTCCCTAGAGCTGACATGGTTTCCCCTTCAGTGCAGCTTCTCAGCCTTTCAGATCCTGGACGAGCCCCCACTTGTCACTAATTGGAAGGGAAGGACCTCAGACCCTGGGGGCCTCACGTGCGTTTGCCGAGGGCTGCCCAACTGGGGTTCATCCTGGGTCCCCCTGTTCTTGACTCTCTTTTTAATAACAATTACTGGTAACAACCATCAGTTTACTCCTTCACAATCCATGCTCCACTAGTTAGTCTGTTCCCTCCCCACAGTGAGTCCATCTAGTGAGGGCATACCCTTCTGTTCCTACTCCCTTTATCTGTAGCTGGGCTTCTGGCTGTGAAGGTAATGCTGTCCATTCCTTCTGTATTGCTCATGCTGATAGTGGGTGAGTAGGGCGGTAGGGGCATCTAGCCAACTCCTCTCTCTGGCGTCTCGGTGTCAACAGCTCCTTTTTCGATTTTTGCTCCTTGCCTTCTTTCTTCCAGGCTTCCCCAAAGCCACACATCTCACGTCTGCTTGGCCTTTTCCCTGGGTAGTCCCTCAACTGTCCCCTCTCACTGGCTAAATCCTCTTGCCAGCCATCCTGACCCCACCCACTCATTAGTGAGCTCGAGCCCTTCTGCTCCGCACAGACTCCCACTTCTTAATCCCAGATCTATCAATGTACTTGAAAGTAGTTCCATTTATTTAATTAGGGTGCATTCAGAAGAAAGCCTTAGTTGATTAATAGGTCAAAGGAAATTTTAGTTAGTAGGACTGAGACTTCAAGCATTTTTATTTTTTGTCTTGTTGTTTTCTGTCCTTGTTTAAAATGTCATTACTAATAATGGGGGAGGGGCTTTTGTTAAATTCTGTCTTCAATGCACTTCTGATTTAGTCAATTCATCGATTAGTTGATTTAAAAAGCTGATTGTTAAACAACTAAAAATATTTGATTGGTTAGTAGCTTTACGGAGTATTAAAATTAATACTCAGCTCTTATGTAACACTGTTTCTAAGCCATCACATACATAACTTCTGTAATCCTTACCGCAGTAATTAAAGTAAACCAGAATTGTTCTTACTGTCTTCCCCATATTATAGATGAGGCTGAGTGACAGGAGCTCGCCTAAGGCCATTCAAGAAGTCTATAGTTGAGCTGAGTTTTGAACCAGGAATGTTGTGGTGTAGTGCTCACACTTTTGACCCCAGTTTTGGATTGCAGCCACCATTTCTGCCTTCTGCAGTGGCACAGATATATGCTGACTGGTTTGTTTCCAATGTCATGATAGATCTGGCAGAAAATTGAAGATGCTGAATGGAGTCCACAGACCTATTTGGAGCTGGAAGGTCTGCCTTGCATCTTGATCTTTAGTGGAATGGACCCTCAAGGCGAGTCTCTGCCAAGGTAATAGCACTAGTAAACATTTCCCATGAAATCCAGCCTAGCCCTTCTTGCCTTCCTGTGCTTACCTGTGAGCACAAGGTAGTTTCCAGTAACATGAAACCCACTGCCTATTACAATCCTTTTTGAACAAGAACAGCAGAGAAAATCTAATGTTGCCTTTTCTTTGATCAACTAATCTCCAAATGGTAGGGTGTGAACTTTTGAAGTTAATGGAATCAACTTGGTTCAGTAAAAAACATATGGTCAGTTTTTCCTCATTCTGTGGATGTCCGACAAGGCACATCAATTCATCACTATTCCCCAAACCCTTTTTATTAAGTAAGTGCTGACACAGATTAAGGCATGCTGTTGGCTAGGGAATATATCACATTTACTAGCTGTAGAGAAAATAGTCTGGAGGATGTTGCTGAAAGTTAGTGCTTTGTCCTATTTACAGTCCAAGTGTAGATGCTCTGGGGGCTCAAGAAATGACAAATGCCAAGTTTTCTGTAACTGTTATACATCAATAAAAATAACAACAGAGTGGCCACAAGACCTCTTGTGTTGCCCTTGCAGTGATGTTTATTTTGAAACACACTAGGTTTTGGCCAGTTTTGCTTTACTGGACATTGCAATAGATAGGAAATGATCTCAAAAACTCCTACGGTTCTTTTTTTTCTCTTTCTTTCTCTGTCCAAGGTCCTTAAGATACTGTGATCTCCGTTTAATAAATTCCTCTTGCTTGGTGAGAACAGCCTTGGAGCAAGAACTTGGCTTGGCAGCCTATTTTGTAAGTTCTGAAACCTCCGCAGAGAAACTGGTCTCCAATGATGTTCTGGAGAGTGACCCGGAGAAGCTAAGCAGTACTGATAATGAAGATGAAGAAACAGTAACAGAAGGTAAATGAATATTCACAGACTCATTGCACTAAAAGATGCCAACAAAAGGGTCTGGTTGAGAAAAACATTATGAAATCCTGATTTCATAGAAACTCTGGTGCACTTGAAGATCCAGTAACTGTGTTGAATGAGAGTTAATCTCTCTTCACTGAGTTGGCACTGCTTTGATATTCCCATCCTCTTCCCTATCCCATCAAGCAGAAATTGAATGTTAAGGCACAAATATTATGTGTAACTGCAGCACGACAACTCATTTTGAACTGGAATAGTTGCTATTGGTAGGTGCAATGAGAAGCAGAGAAATTCCAGGATTTCCTGTTCCAAACTGAGAACCTGCGTGGTGTATGGTTTAGAATGGAAGATTTGTCTCACTTACTGAGAGTCTTCCTTTCTCCTTCAGTGGGGGGAAGTCATCCAGAAACTGGTTAGGTCACGCCTCTGCTCGCTCGATAGGCTATGCAAATTTCTTTTGTTGCATGGCTCCTATTGGAGTTGCCCTGGCTGACCTCTCCAGTTTCTGCATAGCCCTGCGCTCGAGAAAGCACCTTCAGGTAGGTCCAATGTACCATTCTTGGTGGTCCAGGGATGGGTCAGTTCTCACATCTGGAAATGTAGCTCCTCCTCTTCGATGGCAGGGTCACAATGGCTTCTTGAAATTCCCGAAAGGGAGGGTCTTATTCCCAGATCTCCAGTCTGTCAACAAGCCTCAGTTCTCCTTCTTTAGGCACAGCCAGCAACTCAGGGGAAAACCTTATTAACTAGGAAACTACAGAACTGGCTGAAAGAAAACTGTACTCCCCCAACCATAATGGCATGAGAAGAAGAACAACTAACTTTAAGGATGGATAGCTTATGACAGCCAGCCCCTCCCACACTAAGAGCCGCCCCCAACAAGTTTAAACAAAATATCTTGGGCAAGAAGGACTGACCGCCACCCCGGACCACCAAGAAAGGAAGATTCATGATAAGTGAGACAATCTTCCATTCTCTGGTGGTCCGGGGTGGGTCAGTCCTCACATCTGGGACATACAAAAGCAGTCTGCCCCGGGGAGGGACTTGGCTCCTACACTAGACGGGCATGCTGTAGGACCTTCCTACCGAAGGCCACCTCAGCAGATGCTATCTTGCCTATCCTATCCTATAGTGCCTGGTAAAGGAGTGCAGGGACCTCCAGGTGGCAGCCTTGCAAATGATCTCCAGGGAGGGACATGATCTGTATGTTGCCGAGTTTGCTGCCCTTCTTAAGGAGTGGGCAGTTATCCCCTGTGGCAGATCCACACCTGAGGCCTGGTGAGCCAAAATAATACACCCCCTGATCCACATACTGATAATGGACGTGGAGACGTGTTGCCCCATAGATGCCTTCCTGAAAGAAACAAACATGGAGTCAGTCTTACAAAAGGGTTTAGTTCTATCCATGTAAAAACTCAATGCCGTCCTAACATCCAGGTAATGCCACTCCCTCTATCTGGAGTGCTTGGAATTAGGGCAGAAGGAAGGCAGAACCACCATCTCCATCCTATGAAAGCTGGAATTAACTTTTGGGATGAAGGCTGGGTTAGGAAAATACAGAGCTCCCTATGAAATGAAAGGGCCCTCAGCTCAAACAAAGTGACGCCCTCAAGGAAAAGGGTCTTAAAGGTGAGTTCCTTGACAGGGCAAGTAGCCATGGGTTCAGAGAGGTCCCTGGAACAAGACTAAAGTTCCAGGTTAAGAAATGGTGAACCTGAGGTGGGTTGATTAGAAGAAGAAGAAGAGATTGGATTTATACCCTGCCCTTCACTCAAGAGTCTCTGAGCGGCTTACAAACGCCTTTCCCTTCCCCTACCCGCAACAGACTCCCTGTGAGGTAGGTGGGGCTGAGAGAGCTCTGACAGAAACTGCTCTTTTTCAAGAACAGCTGTGCCAGAACTGGCTTGTCCAAGGTCATCCAGCAGCTGCGAATGGAGGAGTGGGGAATCAAGCCTGGTTCTCCCAGATTAGAGTTCATGCACTTAACCACTACACCAAACCCTAAGGAACCTCCTCACATGAGGGTGTTGGGACAGGAATTTTCCTCTCCTGGCACCCTTAAAGGCTGCAATAGCCGCAACCCGCCTTCTGAGGATACTGGTGCTTAGACCTGTATGGAGACCTTCCAGCAAAAAGGACAGCACCTCACTAACGGAGGCAGAGATGGGTTCCAGGTTCCTCTTCTGACACCAGGATTGAAAAACCTGCCAGGTGCTGTTGTAAACTCTATTGGTGGAATCTTTCCTAGAGGCTAGCATGGTATAAATCATTCCCTCTGAATACCCTAACTTCACCAGGAGCGACTGCTCAACTTCCAGGCTGTGAGGTTTAACAATCCCAGCTGGGGATGCTTCAAAATCCCTTGCAGAAAGAGATCCTCCCTCAATGGTAACCGCCAGGGATCCTTGACAGACGGTCTCACCAGGTCCTGGAGCCAAATGGGAGCCACCAGGATCACTTCTGCCTCTAGGTCAATGATCTTCTGTATCACTGTATCACTCTTTGCAACAGCTGTAGCGGCGGGAATGCGTACAGCAGCTAGTTTGCCATTCGCAGCTCAGGGCATCTACTTCTGTGGCCTGGGGTAACTTTGTCCTTGTGATGAACTTTGGTACCTGACGGTTGATCTACTTCTGCTTTTCCGAATCTCCTACAAATCTGCTGGAAGACTTCCCAGTTCAACATCCACTCCAACTGTTTCAAGTCCCTCCGGCTTAGCCAGTCAGCCAGGGAATTTTCTTGTCCTGCCACATGCACCGCCTCTAGTGACTTCAGGTGTGCTTCCACCCACCATATCAGGGACTTTGTCTCCTCATGGAGGGCCCTGTATCTTGCTCTCCCTTGCCTGTTCATGTATGCTTTGGCATACTTGTTGTCCATGTGGACCAAGACATGCTGTCCCAAGAGAAGATCCTGGAATGCCAGGAGACCTAGCCTTATGGCTCTCAGCTCCAGGAGATTGATGCTGCACGATGACTCTTCCGGAGACCCAGACCCCTTGTGCCATCTTCCCCCATGCGTGTGCCCCCCACCCTCTGAGGCTCACATCCATAGTCAGAATTACTCTTCTTGGCTCCCTCAGGTGAACTCCTTCCTGGAACCTTTGGGGGGACTAGCCACCATCTCATCTGAAGCAGAGATCCCAGCAGCTGAAGCAGTTTGAACCTCTTCCTGGCAATCGAGTCTTGGAAGGGAAGCAGGAACATCTAGAGTGGTCACATATGGAACCTAGACCACTGTAGCACATCCTGGCAAGAGACCATCATCCCTGATAGCTTTGCCAGTGACAGGAGCTCCACCTCAGGACTCTGAGGCATCTGGAGGATTGCCCTCCACAGCTTTTCCCGCCTCTCTGGTGACAGGAAGACTATGCCCCAATCAGTATCTATTAGCACTCCCAAGTGCAATATTGTCTGTGATGGCTGTAAATTGCTCTTTTCCCAATTAATTACAAATCCGTGTTCCTGAAGGCAGGAAACTGTATGATTCATATCTTCTACTCCCCGCTGGAGGGAGGAGGCCTTTATCGGAATGTCATCTAGATAGGGGAAAATAGACTCAGAAGTCCTCAGCCTCACCACAAGGGCAATCAGGACCTTGGTAAAGTCTCTCGATGCTGTCTTTAACCCAAATAGGAGGGCTTGGTACTGGAAGTGCCTCCTGTTCAGTGTTCCCTCTAAGCTGAGTTAGTGTGAGCTAGCTCACAGTTTTTTAGCCTCTGGCTCACACATTTTTGTCTTTACTCAGGAAGGATGGCTCCAAAGCAAGCTGATTTATGCAGTAGCCAAATTGCCAGTAGCTCACAAAGTTGAATTTTTGCTCACAAGACTCCACAGCTTAGAGGGAGCATTGATCCTGTCATACGCAAACCTCAAGAACCTCCGATGAGCTTCTCTGATGGGAATGTGCAAGTAGGCCTCTGACAGATCTATTGAGGCCAAAAAGTCTCCCTTCTGGAGAGATGCCACAATGGACCTGAGGAACTCCATCGTGGGCTTCTTACCTGCCTGTTCAGGCATTTTAGATCTAGAGCGGCCCTGAATTCTCTGTTCTTCTTTGGGACCTGGAACAGAACAAAATAAATCCCCAATGTCCTTTGTGCCTTTCGGACATGTTCTATGGCCCTGATGTCCAGCAGATGTTGAATGGCCATAGGTGACAGCTAGTATGATGGTGTTCTGCTGCTTGGAAGGGCCTGGAAGAGGTGGAAGAGGTGGATCCTGGAGATTGCTTGGAGTCTCAAAAAGGAAGGAAAATGCTTCTTCCCTTTGCCCTCCCTCTTCCTTGGAGGTAATGACTTCTTCTTATCTTTTCCCACAAGGTAGTTGTCCATACCCTTATCAAACAGGTTGCCTTCCTTGAAAGGGACACTAATTATTTATTAGGCTTCTATACTGCCATCCTGGTAAAACAGGCTCAGAGCGGTGTACAACAGAATAGCAACACAATGCCATAGTAAGATTAAAAATTACTAAAATACTAAAAACCAATACAATCTAGCCACAAATCATAGACGGTACCATAATACAGAATTTTATCCTTACCCCCTCAACATGGGGGAGGAAGAGAAGAGAGCAAGACTAATGGCACTATTGCTGTCCTCAGAGATATCATTGGTGGAACATCTCTGCCTTGCAAGCCCTGCGGAACTGCATTAAATCCTGCAGGGCTCAGATGTCATTTGGCAGAGAGTTCCACTAAGTCAGAGGACAGCCAGATGCTCTTTGGTCCAGGGATCTCCACTGAGATCCTCCAATGAGGGTAACACTCTCTGGGGGACATACTACTAGCCACCTTTGCCTTGGCCGATGGGTCTACCTCCCAGTTCTGCAACCAAATGTTATGCCTGGCCGTGACACAAGAGGCCATGGCTCTGGCTGACAGCTGGATGGCATCTAGATAGGCATATGTTGCGAAAGCAGAAACCAGGGTGATCTTTTAAATTTCATCCTTAAGCACCTTGGAGACATTGCTGTCCACTGCCACCA